AAAAATAGTTCTGGGATTTACAAAATGCTAAATAAAACAAGACAGGAACGGTTTTTCTTCACGAAACTTTTCTGGATGGAGACGAGCAGAGAGTCCAAATTCCCCTGGATGCTAGTGATGTGGTTAAGCGGTCAAGAGCTGAATAAACGTTCAGGTAAACGCGCTGCCTTTATTGTTGCTGTAAATGATTTCTGTTCGTCGCCTTCAAAGCAGCTGCGCTTCGAGACGTTTCGTACCTGCATCAGCATGTAATAGATGCCAGCGAGGCCGTGGGCTGCGCCGATGTACTGCTTCTTGTGCCATTCATAGAGGAGTGGACAGCGATCCGTCTTCTTCTCCTCCGCCGACATGTTCTTCCCTGACTCCACGATGGCCGTCACCACCTACGGTTGGGTGAAACAGACAAACATGAAGAGTTGGCAAAACGTATAACACTTAAAACCCTGCGAGCCTCACCGACACCAGGCCTTCATTAAACCAAATGTTTTAAAATCATTCTTTGATGTTATCTTCAACACCAAAAATCTAAAGCTGTTCAGAAAAACAACCCAATAAAGGTTGAAGTTTCCTTTTCTCACAAGGTAAACATTTCCATCAGGCTCCTCTCCTGTGGAACCAACTACCAGTTATGCTTAAGGTCTGGTTATCCTCCTGCAGCAGTGTGTCGCAGTGAGCTTGTCGCAGATATTTTTGATTTATGCTCAGTATTGAAGCGTGGTCTGCGCTATGTTATTCCACGCCACAATGCAAGAGCGACAAGCAGGAACTAGCTGTGGGTCTAGATACGGCCGAGGAGGTGAGGAGTTGGGGGAAAGTTTGTGCGACCATGGAGGGACATGAGGAAAAAAGAGCAGGGATCCAGGTGGAAAAAGGGTCCCAGTGTTCTCGCGCTCCTCGCTCTTTTAGCTGGTCCATCTTAACCAGTCGTTCTCCATAATGGCGGTCACACAAACAAAACAAGCCGGTAAGGAACCAAACTGAATTAAAAAAAAAGAAAAACCTCACTGCCTCCATTTGAGTCTCACCGTGGAGCCTGAGGTCAGAAATGTCTCCAACTTTCAATGCCGAATAGAGTAGCAATCTGTTGGAGGAGTTGGTGCTGATGTTATGATCCCTCTTTCTCTTTCAATAACCGCTTATCTTGAAACAAAAGCTTCAATTCAGAGCAAAATATGAAAAATTTGATTTGATTTGCAAGTTGGAGAAACGCTTTCTTCTGTGGAGCAGCTTGCAAACTGTTGGAGGCATCATAATCACCAGATAACAGCACCAACACATTGGAGTGTAGCTTAGCAACAACTAAGCTGATAACATCGCATGCAGCTTTAGTCTCTAATGTCACCAGATCAGGGATGATGTCAATGAAACAGAAATCTGCCATCCCTCCAGCCGCTCTGCCAGGACCAGGTGATAGTCAGAGGTCATCCAGGTCTCTAGTCTTTTTTAGCCGTGCCCTCCACCCGCTTTCTGGTGCTCTGCATTCATATTCTCTAGGTTGTTAAAAACAAATAAACAACCGAGTTAAGAGTATCAGCAAAAATCCTCCTGGCTCCAGATAATCCAAAAACCAGAAGGATTAATCCCCAGAAACATCAATGTCTCAGTCAGAACAAGAGGAAAAACGCACCAGAACTGCTCTACATTTAGAGTCTGCACACAGACCTGACAGTATGTTCATGTATATTTTTGG